AGTATGACGGATGAGCCAGCCATCACTGCGCTCGAAGTCGCTCACTTTGAAAATAGATTATGTCCCAAAGACGGATCTACATCCGTTTACTACCGCTACCCTTTGTTCCAAAATAAAAAGAAAGGAAGTAATATTGTAAATTAAATATTGCCTTCCAAAATATTAGGATACAAAAATATGATAATAGTTACGATGAAATTAAAATTAAATAATGGAATTCGGCAACCAATGTAAACTTGAACAATTCCTCGGAACATATATATAAATTATTTAATGTTTGTCTTTTATCGGTTTCAGAATATATTTTATTTAGTATATTGTTATTATTTTTGGTATCTGATGTTAAGGTCTTAGAATATATACACGCCTGTCATGTTAGTACTGGAAATTTATTTTCTAACTTGTTTCTATCTGTGAAAATCTGTAAGTGCCTGTAAATCTGATTTAATTTATTTTCGCAAATAGCTTTCCGAATAAAATAAATAAACATATGTTTATAAACAGCTAGCATATTTTTGATCAGCAAAAGATCATGAATACAATGCAGGGACAAATCTACAGAGGTAATTACATTAACATTAAATATTGCATCAAAGTTTGTGAAAATTTAGTTGAATAGCTTTTGCAACAGAAACCTGTTTTCTGTTACGTACAGTGTTCACATCGGAAACGGTTTCTTTTCAACAACAAAAGTTTCCATGGCAGCTGTAATATGAATGTATGTATATAATGAACTAACAAAAGGAACACGTCTCGAAACCCTATAGAGGTCATAATAAGAAATGCAACTGGTCGATTTAAATAGGCGACCTGGATTCAGAGGGTTTCAAAAAACTTTTGTAAACTGGTTATTAATTTCTTTACAGTATTAAAAGATACAACAAATGGGTACCCGATATTGTATTCAATATGATTATTTTTGTTCAGGCCCACTTTTTTTATTTATTTGCACATAAAGTAATACATAAACAAAAAATAATCATCAAGCCCTAAAACTGCTTACAAAATATTTTTTTTTTTGTTAGGTACATTATCTCATAATCTTATATATTTTTTGTTATATACCTACGCATAATACCGCATTATGATGTTGAATATATAAATAACTGAAAATATTAATAACTGTTGAGAAACTTTTTTAATATTAATATATTTAAAGTTTACATTTTCTATTGTACAGAATTTAAATTTTATTCCTTATCATTCAATTTATCTCTTTATCATATGTCAAGCTTCAAGTTATGTAATATAGGTAACCATTTATAGAATGTAAATAAATAATTTCCTTTTATATGATAATGTACTTACATATGAAGTATTTCGAAATTGCGAGCTTCGATTATACAATATAAGGAAAAACAATTTTAAATTTCTTTCATGAAGATAGCTTCAGTAGTTTGAAAAAATATAGCGCTGATAGACGGATGGAGTTCAAATTTTGATATTATTATATATACTAGCTGTGCCCGTGGTTTAGCCTGCATGAAATTTATAGCCTTTGCTATATTTACGTATAAGATAGATTACTGTGAAATTTCACCAAAATCCGTTCAGTATTTCTTGCGTGACAGAGCACCAAACATCCATCCAGCTATCCATCCTACTTTTACGTTTATGATATGTATTAGTAGGTCCAGTAAGTAATCGTAAATATTTTTTTTTTTTTTGTTCAAGAAACAGAATTTGAAGTATCCAGTTCTTGCAGTATGATATGGAGACCACCCAATCGGCTTATAACAACAAATAAGTAATTAGTAAAAGGACTTAACAAGGATAAGAAGCAGCGACCGGAGACAGAAAACTAAAGAAATATTGATCGTCTTCCAAACACGCAATCCAACTTTCTTCCCGGCTGCTCTTTCCAGGAGCGATCAGTGGCGGGCCGACTGGGATATGAATTCAGAGTATACAACTATGTGTTTGAACACATAATAACGCAAGACAACATCGTGTAAACCCTAAAATTTTGTGCAAACTCACATCGAACTGTAGATACGAGAATTCAATTCAATTCCCTTGCACTACAGATACAACTATTTGTTTCAAGACAGTGTTGGGTAAACCCTATAATATTGTCCAAAATCATATCATAGTGTAGATAAGAGAACTCTATTCAATTCCCTTGCTCTACAGATACAACTATTTGTTTCAAGACAGTGTTGGGTAAACCCTATAATATTGTCCAAAATCATATCATAGTGTAGATAAGAGAACTCTATTCAATTCCCTTGCTCTACAGATACAACTATTTGTTTGAAGACATAAGAAAGCAAGACAATGTCGGGTAAACCCTAAAATATTGTCCAATCTCGCATCGAAGTGTAGATATGAGAATTCAATTAAAATCTATTGGTCCACCGATACAACTCTTTGTTTGAAGACATAGGAAAGCAAGTCAATGTTGGGTAAACCCTAAAATATTGTCCAAAATCACACCATAGTGTAGATAAGAGAACTCTATTCAATACCCTTGCTCCACAGATATAACTATTTGTTTGAAGACATAGAAAAGCAAGACAATGTTGGGTAAACCCTAAAATATTGTCTAATCTCGTATCGAAGTGTAGATACGAGAATACAATTCAATTCCATTGGTCCACCAATACAACTATTTGTTTGAAGACATAAGAAAGCAAGACAATGTTGGGTAAACCCTAAAATATTGTCTAATCTCGTATCGAAATGTAGATACGAGAATACAATTCAATTCCATTGGTCCACTGATACAACTATTTGTTTGAAGACATAGGAAAGCAAGACAATGTTGGGTAAACCCTAAAATATTGTCTAATCTCGTATCGAAATGTAGATACGAGAATACAATTCAATTCCATTGGTCCACCAATACAACTATTTGTTTGAAGACATAAGAAAGCAAGACAATGTTGGGTAAACCCTAAAATATTGTCTAATCTCGTATCGAAATGTAGATACGAGAATTCAATTCAATTCCATTGGTCCACCGATACAACTATTTGTTTGAAGACATAAGAAAGCAAGACAATGTTGGGTAAACCCTAAAATATTGTCTAATCTCGTATCGAAATGTAGATACGAGAATTCAATTCAATTCCATTGGTCCACCAATACAACTATTTGTTTGATGATTTAAGAAAACAAGACAATGTTGGATAAACCCTAAAATATTGTCCAAACTCGCATCGAAGTGTAGATACGAGAATTCCATTTAATTTCCTCACTCCACACATAAATTTTTCCTCCAAATTGTCCCCATCACACAATATCCCCCGAATATGAATAAACCCCCCATTTGGCGAAAATAAATGACTAAATTTCGTAAATCATTTTATTCACATGAATTATTTGAGTATCTTAACAAAAAACCTTCAATGAATGATGAACTCCAATGAATCACGTATTAAATTATATATCTGTAAAATATCTGTTACAAATTTTCCCATTTCACACCACTATTGATATTAATCCAATTGTTTACTGCAATTGCCTAGTGTGAGAATTTCAGTATTTGACCGACAAATATGCAATTCCGACAGCTCGAATGCGTATTTAAGCCTCGAGCCCTCTACAGCCACAAATACACCATACCAATTTATATTTACAGTGTTATAGAGAATTGAAAGCACAAATAATACAAGTCGTTTCACGTGACTTCGTACGTTTGTTTTAGATTAACGAGAGCTTACTACTCTCGTGATAAAATCTATTAATTCTACTAACGGTTAGTTGTATAAACTGACTAATTAGAATATTACTACGAATATCGGCTTGGTCAATATTGATATAGTCAATCATAATATTGATTAATGACTTTCATGATGTATAAAAAATGTTTGAATGTTCTGATGAGTATTTGTCTAATAACGTGAATGTATATATGACATAACAATTAGTGATATTACCACATTGTTAATAATGCAAGGTTGTGTATCACGAACAATTCGTCTCAATTTGGAAAATACCAACACACAGACGAAACGCTTTAAATGTAACCGATATGTGCATGATGACCGTCCTTCTCTCTCTTATCCCTTCCCTAATTCTTGCATCTTTCTCCTAAGTACCTTGTCTTCTACTATAATACCCCCCGTCTCCTAAAAGGTCGACAGCACACCTGTAATTTCTGTTCTTGCAAGTGTTTATGGACAGCTGTAATCTTTTAACTCATGTGAGACTAAGTTTGTTTCCCCCTGTGCTATAAAACAAACATGGCGCTACTTTCGGCAATGAACACTATTGAATCAAACTGTTTATGGAGTATTAAGAATTTTGTAAGTTTCTCTAACATATTGTGCATTTTAGAAATGATGAAGTTCTTTTTTAAATTTTCTAATTTCTCTCTTACATCCACGATACAGGCACAGTCTAATGTGAAGTCATAGATAAAATGTTACTTAAGTTTTCCGAAATAAAACTCACTGTACTCTATTGATTTAAAACAAGAATCATGAACCCATATCGTATATTTAATAATTTAATAAACAAATAGATTATTATTTTTTTTATAAAGAATACTATTTAATAAATTTTATTACTAGTTAGTAAATATTTAATAACTATCAATCAATGAACATAGTCTATCTATATATATAAATGATCTACACGTGACCATATAAATCTAGAATGAACTAATTAAAACTAGACAACTTCTCATGTTTGCTTATATAAAGCCAATCGTAAAGACAATGCATGTTGCCTACATAATACGAGGAAAGAGACAAAGTATTGAGACAGAAAGAGAAAATCGATCCGCTTACAGCTATTGCCGCGAAGCGTAAAAAGACAACCAACTGAAACGAGAAGGCAACAAAACAAGGTTTATATTTAAAACCTACATCAAAAATGTTCTACTCAAATAAAAAATAAAAATATTTGTTAATATTTTGTTGGTAAACATCCTGTATTAGTTTAAAATAAATAAAAAAATTAATTAAAAAAAAATATAAAAGAATAAAACTTAAATAAATAAAATAAAAATAAATACATTAAAGAACATTAATAAATGTGTAAATTGTACTCACCGACTGCTATTTTTTCGACTGGAAAAGTCTGCGCTGTCAGCACATATACGTGAAACAACAACACGACGAATACAGTAGTTATACGATACGGCGACATTTTGCAGTTTGTTATTATACCTGACCGCCTATTTACATGTTATGTGTTATAATTATTCCATTGCGATGAAATAATTAGCGATAATTTGACGATAAAGAGTCAAAATCCTGTGTACAAACCTAAGACGCACGGGCGACTGATGGCGTTCGGCTGTGGCATGGGGCGGGGTGCACCCCCCGACCCCTCGCACCGCGCACCCTGTTCTCGCAGGCTTAAAATCTCAACGAGTATTTAAACACATTATTACCAGCTAATTCAACTATACTTCTTTTTTTATTTGTCTATATCACCAGTTATAAAAAGTAATTTTTTTTTTAATTGTACACGTGGCAAAGGAAAACTAATAAAGTCTGTTTGAAAAGTTAGTTAGATATTATAACATAGTTTGAACTTACTCTTCATACTTTGGTACGCATTGTGTAAACTTTAAATTGTATTTTACTATTGTTGTAAATTGCGCGCGTCGGCTATGTGTGGGGGATGAATTTCACGCGCCCTCTCTCCTCCCCAGTTTTTCTTCTCCCTCACGCATTAGCTACATTTTGTGAACAAAATCAGTGTCGCCGCCGTTCGATTTTTCACTGAACTAAATATCTCTTTTTATAAATAGTACATTCTTCTATTCCTATTTCAATGAATTGAGGTGAATAATAAACATCTTTTTATTACTGTTTGCTAACTGAATTCACTTAAGCCTATTCCATTTTAGTAACTGTACTAGTAATCGTGTATAGAAAGTTTATTGCTTTTTACCAATTCTATGTAATAAATATTGTAATGGAAAACAAACAAAACGATGACTCACTTGATGGTAAATGGTAACAGATAGCGGACATTATGTTGTATATATATCATTACATAGTATAAAATAAAGTCGCTGTCGCTGTCTGTCCGTCCCTATATATGCTTAAATCTTTAAAACTACGCAACGGATTTTGAAGCGTTTTTTTTTAATGTATAGATTTATCCAAGAAGAAGGTTTATATGTATAATACACCTGGGCGAAGCCGGGGCGAGTAGCTAGTATTTTATAAAAATTAACTATTAATGATTATTTCAAGATACGAAACTATACATATACATTTGTAATAATAAAAAAAAAACGGATCAATTATTCATTTTAGTTTAGTAGGCACCTCATCCTCTTTACCAGACTCTTATTACATATTAATTTTTATTTATTTATTTTGCTATATTACTCATATAATTACAGTTTTTTTAAGTATATTTCAAGTATTATAATATATTTAATTTTGATCGTTTATATATGGTCCCGTGTAGATAAAAGCTTCCTTAAACATGCTCCTTGACTGTCTATTCATAGCCTCACTCATCCAAATTTTTCCTGCTATATCTTTGATGTTATCGGACCATCTTTTCCTCTGTTTCTCTACTCGCCTTTTGCCAGTCGGTTCTAGTTATTTCGTTAATTGGCGAATCCACTTTTTGTCTCTTACCTAAAGATATTGTTTAGGCACTATAATTAATTTGAGGATGAAAATACCTAATGTATAATGATTACTAAATGTTATTTGTAGGTAAGCCTATATTTGCATCGCTCGACATCGACAGAGCATTCATCTTCACAACCTGAAACCGAAGTAGTATACAAGTACAGGTTAGCATGGTTTCAGAGGAACATCTTCCTACGCACACTGAGATTGTATAATAAATTATCTGTTGAGGTTTTGTATAGAAATGACAGCGTAGGTTTTTTTAAGAAGTGTATTAAAATGTCTGATGCCTTTTGTTTTAGGGTATATACCCCTGAAATGATAGCCTACAGTAATCGATTACCATGTTTAAAAAGACTTATTGTCTATGTAACGTTAAAAAGCATGTTTGTGTACTCTTAGATATATATAGATATCTATTTGTATTGATTTTGTTATACTTAAATAAAGTTGAATTAAATAAAAAAAATTGATTACCATCGGGCGAGTACTTGATGGTTACTAATGTGATATATAAATATGGTAAAAAAATGAATTCACTTTCACAGTTTATTACTATGTATCAACAATATTAAATTGATACAAAACTATTAAGAATATAATTAGGTGTTTTATAATTTCTATAAAAAAGTTTCCATCAACCTTCATAAACGAATTTAAGGCAATTTTTATTTAGCATACCCAATGAAGCAAATATAAATATTAAAACCTAATGTACCTAAATATAATTTGATATGTGCTCGCTCCAATCACATGTTTTTTTCTCATAAATAGACGTTTCACTGAATTAAATTTATTTTCGGGTCTTTTAGTAAGATAGACTATCTGTAAAAACCTACTTGTAGTATAAAGTCTATTCATTTTCTGCTTGAATGAAATACTTCAGACGATAAGAAGGTAACAAAAAGCAAAGCGACAGTCGCAAATGCTCCAAGGAGTTCTACGCAGTCATTCTTTGGGAAAAGTTTCTTATAGCGTTGTATTTATAATTAATTCCCCACGAATTGTTTTTCCCATTTCTTTTATACTTTCCAGAGAACCATTTAAATAAATAATATTATTTTTTCATCGCTATTCCGATGCGTTTGGTATTTAATGTCGATGATGTTTTAAATTCTTTTGCAATATTTCATAAAGAAAATGAAACGTATTTCTTTTTTTTATTTAAAACTACCATCAAGACTACCTCATATAAAGTGCAGAGCATCATTGTCAACTATGAAAAAAGTAGCATTGCAAAACTGACATTTTTAAATACAATTGATTTTATATATACAGTACCTATATATAGAATTTATCAGATGCCTTATTATAGTGCAAATATATTTAGTTTACCATTAATACGTACGAAGATGTTGCTTTTAACAATTCGTTAACCTTTTATAAAGAGAACGTTCACAATAACTGAGAATAAATGTACTACTTTTCTACTTTGTTTGACGCTCAGTTCTCTTTGCATTATTATTAAAATATTTTCTTGTACAAAACAACAATTTTATTTTAGTTTTTTAGGATACTACAGACATATAATGATAACCCTGGCTCGTCTGTCTGTGTGTTTGTAATAAGCTTAAATATACTAAAAGGATTTTCATAATGTTTTCAAATAACGAAAGAGTAAATCCTCACCAAGGTTTAGATGTATAACTAGCTGTCCCGGCAAACATTTTGCCTTAAAATAAAAAAAATTAGGGGTGGACTACCCCTAACATTTAAGGGGATGAAAAATAGATGTTAGCCGATTCTCAGACCTACTCAATACGCTCACAAAATTTCATGCGAATCGGTGAAGCCGTTTCGGAGGAGTATGGGAACGAAAACTGTGACACGGGAATTTTATATATAAGATAATTCACTATGTGAAAGCTTTAGATAATTTGCTAGTATTGTAGACAAATAAAAATATTAACGGAAAGGCTAAATGTACACTAAAAGACGTGTTAAATAAACAAGATAAAGTGATAACCGGCCCGCTTGCAGCGGAACTGAGTTCAAACTACCGACGGACTAAGTTACAAAGTGGATAACTATCTCACAATTATTATTATTATTTAATAAAGCTTTGCCAGGCTATATTTCAAGTTGTGAAGTTTTCAAACAAAATTAACTACACCACGTCTAAGTAGCAAATGAAAGTGTTGGTGTTATCACAAACTTTTGTACTTAACTTTTTGGTACACAGTGAGCTTTTCGAGAATATATTTCAACGTTAACAGTTTTAATATTTTAATAGTTTAATTGATGACTGCTTTTCACTCTTAGTTTCTGAACATCTTGCGTATCATTTCATTTTTACTCTGTGTTCAGATTGATTTTAGCCGATCGAGGCATATCGAGTATATACTTATTAGAACAGAGAAGATTGAAACTTATTTTTAGGATGTTGATTAAATATGAATAAATATTACATTCGAAGTTTGTAAACATTTTACCCTTAAGTAGGTAAACTAAAGTAGGGGATGAAAGTTTGTATCGGTTTTCGTCGTTTTTTAAATTAATATGTTGATAATTTTTTCTTTGGTGTTTTGGGTTTTGGGATAGTAAATGGTTATTAAATACTTTTTCTTTATTTGGCCATGTCTCATTCTACCACGCAACGGAAGTCTAAGGGACAGCTAATGTTATTAAAAATTGGTTAACCAAATAGAAGTAACATAAAACGTCTTTATCACCATCGTTAAAAAAAATAGGACAACAATTAAAAATATTTTAAATTACTTGACGACCTCGGTGGTCTAGCGGTTTAGCGGTTTGCTTTATAACCGATGGTCGCGGGTTCGATTCCTCGCACGGCACAAACATTTGTATTCATGAGTATGATTGTTTGTATCGGTCTGGGTGTTTTCTATGTATAATATGTATGTATTTACAAAAAAAAATATCTATGTATATATGTACCAGTTGTATGCGCCCATAACACAAGCTTTAGCTAGCTTAACTTGGTTCAAGATGGCGCTGTGTGAATTGTTCTGAGATTATTATTATTATTATTTTAAACTATTAGAAGTGTGTCACCAAACTTTGTAATATGAGATTATAATTTAAAGCTATAAGGGTATTTCCAACCCTCTATGTCCATAAACATTACAGGGTTTATATACTCACACTTAGTGAAGAAACGCGCATGATATGGGTCGGAACTGTCGAAAATATATTTCTCAACGTCACTCTTCTAAAAAGCATTGCATTGATCATGGGAATATAGCGTCCATGTTGCGACAATCTGAACATCGTGTTTGCTTCAAAAATTGTTCAATTGACGGTAAGAGACATTGCAAATTTACATACGGAATAATTGCGAAAGTTCAAAAATCATTTCATCACAAACTAAGCAGAGTTTATCAATGGAATCCGATACAAATACTGTTATTTTCATATACTCAAAACTTTTACTTCACTTTGCATTCAAACGAAATACTAAATATGTGTTGCAGAACAATATTTATTTAAAAGAGGAACGCATGTTCCATGCATTTTCTTGTGATGAGTCTGCTTTTCGAATGAGCGGAGGAATAAAAAAAATAGTATGAGACTATTCCATAGTGT